GGAAGGTAAAATGAGGAGGTGGAAGAAGGGAAGGAGGGGTTAAAGGACCTTTTTTTGACTTCTGAGAGGTAGAGGGACGATTGGGAGATGTCGTACGAGGTCTCGTCGATACTGAGGCTTGTGAGGGAGAACACGAAGAAGCGAGAACAGACTGAGGCGTTGAAGTAGGGACGTCTGAGCCTAGGACAGCAAAAGAATTAGATACAGGAGTGACTATGGGAGAGGTAACCACAGAGGAAGTTGCAGAAGATGGGACCCCAGAAGTGGGGGGACGTTTTGAAACACGGGAATAAGAAACACGGGGTAGTCTCCCTTGGAGGCGGAGATGAGAAACTGTCATGGCATAAGGGAGACCTTCTGCCTCTTTGAGGTAACGGATTTCCCGCTCATTTAAGTAGACTTGGCAACGGCGAGAGTACGAAGGGTGAGCCTCATGACAATTAAGGCAAGAGGGAGTTCGATTGCAAGATGTATTAGAATGGTCATTGGCACCACAGACTAGGCATTCGGCTATGGATCTGCAATATTTCGCTGGATGGCCAAATCGCCAGCAATTTCTACAGTGTTGCGGTGTAAGGATCACCTTTCGAACTTGTAACCGATGTCCTGCTACATAAACTGAGGATGAGAGTTCACGGCTGTCAAAAGTTAAACGAGCCACATTGCTAGGGCATCGTCTCTGCCCGCGAGCAGGAAGAACATAAGTGTCTACCTTGAGGATTGGGAGATCTTGGAGTTCCAGCTGTTCAAGAATGTCATTGCCACATGTCTGGAAATTTTGTTGAACTATGGTATGGGGCAGAATGACGGTACCACTACAAGAATTGAAGGAATGATGTTTTTCAATAGTGACAGGAACAGTATCTATATGGGAAAGAAGAGAAAGATCATGAGCTTGGGTAGCATTCTGTACCGTGATGATGCGCGTACCACTCTTAAGAGCATGAAAAGAAATATCTTTACCAACATGGCAAAGGAGTGCCTTGCCAATACTGTGGTCGGAAAGATAGGCGGTAGAGGAAGTTGGTCGTAAAGTGAAGAATTTAGTCCATTGTGCAGTCTGAAACTGAGCGTGGAAAGGGAGTGCAGGACGTGTCGATCTTTTCTGAGAACAACGAGAAGGTGGAGAAGTATCATCAGCAGGTAATTGTCGTTGGCGTTTAGGCGTGGGACCAGAGTTGGTCCGACGTGGAATGGGCCGGCGATTCGAAAATTGCCGCACCGTAGAGGGAGAGGCTGGAAGCATAGTCAAAGGAGAGCAAAGGTCAGATAAATCAAAGGAGTCAGTCGAGACCTCAGTATCTGAAGCGGGTGAGGAAACAGCACCGGCAAGAGGAGTGTCCGAAGAGTGGTCCAAAGACGAGGAGGGGCCAGAACAGGGTGCGGTATCAAGAAGGGGCCCGAGGGTAGAAGGTTCATGGATTGGGTTCTCCATGGTTAGGTTACTTCTTTCTTTTTGTTTTTAAGAAAAAAAAAATTAAGAAAATAAAAATAAAAAAAAAGAATAAAAAAAGGGGGGACCGGGGAGGGATAGTTCCTAGGAGGAATGAAAGGGCCAGAAATCTCCCTCCACGCCCAAGAGGACCTCAGCACCGCAAGTAGCGTAGATGCAGCATGGAACCCGTGCCATACCCTACCCATGATGCCAGTAAACCAGCAATCCGGGATAGCACCCTCACATCTGCCGAGCTACCTCGGTGGACAAAAGAGAGGGCGGCTGGATATCTGTCACAAAACATACCTCCTTCGGCCACCACCCCCGGAATCCGAAAGGTGGCTTCCAGAGATACACCCGTCGCCCGAAAGACACCCAAAGCCACTCTCCGGGATACCGGAGAGGGATCAGGACATCCCCAGGCGATCCAGATTCCATGGCAAACTATGCCACCGCCAAGAACCTCAACGGAATGGGATGGACCCCGGTACCCTTTCCCCTACCTAGGAACTAGCGCGCCTGTGGGAAAAATCCCAAAGGCCAAAAAGAGGAAGGGCAAAAGGGAGGGGCGGGGAGGGGGAGGAGGAAAGGGAGGATGGGATAGGGAAGGGGGGATTGGGGGGTAATTAGGTTCGGTCTGAGGAAGGAGACCGACAGGTCTAATTCCTCAGACTAAGAGCCTCTTCACTACGCCAAGGAGCCCCCCTTGAAGAGGTATTTCCTTTATAGTATAATAATGTCTCAAAAGGACCCCAATGGAAATAAGTCACTTTGTCTGACTTTTTGGGTTATCCTAGGTTCTCTACATATATGCTGCTGTGTGTGATAATCTCTGTAATTGTATTTGTGTATACCTGAATAAACTTACTATCTGTCACAAACTTAAAAATTCATCTATCTACCCCATGATTGCAACTGACAAACATCTCTGTAAAATCTGTGTACGTATACTGCATCTTTGTTTCATTTTTTTAATGCCTCCATAATTCCATCACAGTTATTTAGCAGTTGAACATTAAAATGGTATAAAATACCGACAGGTTGTTAGGTAAGGCACATATGCAGTTGTGAAAGACGTGAGTTTCCAGGTCTAAAACTGCTCTGGTTTGGGCTGTGCAGACTGAGATGTCCCATAAAGTTTGTAATTTGGCATTTTATCACGAAGACTTTTAAGGTGTGGGATGTTAAGGCTACAAGCCTGCGAGTCAGTTACTGGTCACACACTAAGTCTGATTTCTTTAAATTATCATATTTTCCATCATATAAAGCACACCCCAGTTTTGGCAGGCATATTCTGGTAAAAGTAACAAAATATACAGTACTTGCTTCAAAATAAAAATGAGCCAGTGGCTGACTGCTTATGCGTAACTGAAGGTGGGACGATGTGCAGCCTGTTGTCGGCTCTACCACCATCAATTACCAAAACAAACATAGCTACCTGTTATTTACAAATGGCTATTATACAATTATTTAAACTTGTTGAAGGTGGTTTGCTTATTAATTACCAGTAATATTTTTTTTCAACAAACCGGCCATGTCCCACTGAGGCAGGGTGACCTAAAAACAAAAACAAAGGCTTCTCTTTTTAAATTTAGTAGTGTGTACAGAAGGGGTTACTAGTCCCTTGCTCCCAGCATTTTAGTCACCTCCTATGACACATGGCTAACAGAGGTAGAATTCTGTTCCACTTCCCCATCGAGATAAGGGGAAATAAACAAAAACAAGAATAGTAAGAAACAGAAGAAAACCCAGAGGGGTGTGTATATACAGTGGACCCCCGGCTTACGATATTATTTCATTCCAGAAGTATGTTCAGGTGCCATTACTGAACGAATTTGGTCCCATAAGGAATATTGTAAATTAGATTAGTCCATTTCAGACCCCCAAACATACACGTGCAAATGCACTTACATAAATACACTTACATAACTGGTCGCATTGGGAGCTGATCGTAAAGCGGGGATCCACTGTATATGTTTGTACATGTATGTGTAGTGTGACCTAAGTATAAGTAGAAGTAGCAAGGCGTATCTGAAACCTTGCTTGTTTTTGAGACGGAAAAAAAAAAGACACCAGCAATCCTACCATCGTGTAAAACAATTACAGGTTTCTGTTTAACGCTCACTTGGTAGGACAGTAGTACCTTCCTGGGTGGTTGTTGTCTACCAACCTACTACCTAGAATACCAGTAATATATAAAATATAACTTATAAGTTACTAATCATTGTAAAAGTAATCTGAGAAACATGACTCACGAAATCATAATGACACGGTTGCAAACAAACCATACCACGGGTATGGTTTGTTTGCAATCGTGTCATTACAATTTCGTGAGTCATGTTGACGGCAGTGAGGGGACTTGAGCCAGAGTTCGTCACGGCCACGCTAGCTGGAGATTCGTCTGTAAAAACTTGCATTTATGGTCACAGTGGTGCCTATGCTAACCTTCCTATGGTGTAGAAATATACGTAGTTGGAGGAATCTTATTGTGGCTAGCTGGTCCAGTGGCTAACGCGACGGTCTGGAGTTTTGAGATTCTCTGACCACGGGTTCAAATCCCGCCCATGGTATGATTTTTTTTTCTGAGAAACAGTTTGTAGGGAAGATAGTTTATCAGTACCACAGCTTGTCAACAATCTAAAGCTAATCCTTCTTCCTGACCTTGAGCACATAAGATACAGATTTTCCAAGACTTTTTTTTTAGGGGAAAAAAGTATGCCTTGTATGTCAGAAAATAAAATTCACTAAATACATTCTAATAAAGCTTGCCTAACACCAAACAACCAGAAATATTACATACAATAATTAGTATGGACTCCATGGGGAAATGGAACAGAATTCTTCCTCCGTAAGCCATGCGTGTTGTAAGAGGCGACTAAAATGCCGGGAGCAAGGGGCTGGTAACCCTTTCTCCTGTATAAATTACTAAATTTGAAAAGAGAAACTTTTGTTTTTCTTTTTGGGCCACCCTGCCTCAGTGGGATACGGGCAGTTTGTTGAAAAAAAAAAATTAGTATGGAATGAAAAAAATTACAATAAACACTTGAAAAGACTAAATGTACCCTGCCAATATGGCAGGGTATATTTTCTTTAATTCCTATCAATGAGAAACTATTCTAGACCTCACAACATGGGAAGGATAATTATTGTATATTATTTGACTGTGTACAGTAGCATCCAAACCACCTTACGTTTGTTTGAACTTACATAAAACAAGAACCACAACTACACTGTATTCAATAATTCACCTTTTATTTTAAAACTGGGAATTTGAGAGAATTTTCAGTAGGGCAAGACAAACATTACGGGAAAAAAATTGGAGAATATCAAGCCTCATTCTCTTTTGACCTAAGTGCTTCAGTGTAAAGAGCATATGCTTCAAAAAATTTATTTTCAACAAACATATCAATGTTCACTTATACTTAATAAAAAATTCCATAACAATCGGAACTACAGCACCTAAAAAGCTGTGTATACAGCTCACTGATTCACACACAAATATAATACAATATGCTAAGTGTAATCTGTAAAATGTATCTGCACTTTGAATGAAAATGCTTATTACCTGTTCTCTCCAAAGATTGTTGCAGTTTCAATACGCTTTGTGACTGTATCTGCCCAAAACAGGAAATTGTCTTTAACATCAACAGCTAGAGCTGAAGGACTTGATAAACCCTCTGTGATGACCTTTTGACGGTTCAGGCCATCTATGTGGACTTGCTCGATTAGTGGAGGAGAGACCATATTGATGAAGAAGAGAAGTCCAAGTACTGGGTGAACTGCCAGGGAGCGTGGCTGGTCCTCACCCTCATGTCCAACGATGCCACCGACCTGTGTTCCATCAAGCTTGGTGATGTTAATCACATTGTTTCTTGCACAAGACCAGAAGATAACTCGAGTGAAAGGTTCTACAGCTATGTCGTAAGGATAAATCTTCTCCATTACATTGCTTACAAATACTTCACTTTGTGTGCCGTTATGGTGGGCACGGCGGAGGGTGTGCCCGCGGCCCTCTACCCAATAAACCAGTTGTTCTACTGGATCATAGTCAATGGCACGAACATTGCGCATGCTGTGAATGGGTAGTATGAGTGTCGGGCACTCATGAACATCCTCAACAAGACGACTAACTTCAGTCTTCTGACTAAACAACAAGAAAGATGTCGGCGCTGTTTAAGAAAAAAATAACAATTAAAAAATTATTAAAATGCTACTGAAGTCAACAAAACATTATATAACAAAAAAATTCAGTGCTTGTCAAGCCAATTTTGTTTCATATATGATTTGAAAAGTTGCAGATTGAATACAGTGGACCCTCAAGTTAAGAATTTTTTTCGTTCCAGACGGCTGGTCAAGTGCTGTTACTGAACAAATTTCCTCTCATCAGGAATAATGTAAAATAGATTAATCTGTATCAGACCCCTGAAAATACACTTACAAAAATACACCTACATAATTTGTCATGTTGGGAGTGGTTCTTAACTCGCAGGTCCACTGTACAATAATCAAAATCCCACCCAGCCTACTAAATGACACTTCAGCACAGATGCCACAAACAACATGCATAGAGCAACATACATTCAGAGCAGAAGCTAGAAAATTCTACTGTTATGGGGCAGCATTTAAGGGGGTTTTAAACTCTTTAAAGAAGGAACTCCAATATTTCAAGAAAAAATTATTTACGTCTAAATTTAGCAACAAACAGTAAACCTACTTACAACACAACTTCATTTTCTAAGTTTCAGAAATTGCAACCAAAAAATCTGATGGCATGGGAGAACTTGATATTAAGTAATGTAGTGTGAATAACTTAGGTAGTGTGTGAAATACTGGTACTACATGATACAGCATTAAGTTACAACTTTTTTTTTTTTTTAAATGCCATGGTACATGGCCCCTTTCCTCACACTGACACCCTACACCATCTACATTTGCATTATGGAAGTGTCTTGTACCTTCTTCACTCCATATTTGACAAGCAATATAATGTGGGTATTTTCAATACTAACTAATCTCTGGATATTAACCATGGCAAGAGAGGAATACTAGTGATGCTGGAAGTGCTAAGAAGCTAATGGAAGTATTAGAAAACCTTAGGGGTGGTTCACATAGATCAAAACTGCCTATGAGCTTTATCATTCATATAGTTAGAAATGATGAGTACAAATAAGAGCTTGTGTATTTAGTAGTAAAATTTCACCTGCTCAAAAAATAACAAAAAGGACACTACAGCTACATAAAACAGAAAAGTTACTGAAAGCGTGGACTGAGGGGAAAAACAGCACAGTAGCTCCACTTAGTGCTCAGATAATAAAGTTCAAAAGTGCTCAGATAATAAAAGCACAAAATTGTACCATATAAAAAGGAAGAGTATTCTTCACAATAGTGTATGCTGAATGCTGGATGGTTTGAAAGTTTTAAAACATGCCAACATTTTCATGTTTTTCTTGTGACCTCTATGAAGATATGTAGAGTAAAATATGAGAGATGCATTACAAAATACTTGAGCACCCAAAGTACCAGCATCAACTACTGACAACTCTGCATCCAAATTTGCACAACAACCACAACTATTTGCCTCACCCATCTACCTGCATACTAAAGAAAGGGTATGAATACTGCAGTTTAAAGGGTCATTTGAACTACAAGGTTGGCATACTTGATGCAAGACAGATATTGAATAGTGAATATATTCTTCTTTAGGTCACCCTACGTTAGACAGAAACAGCATTTTTTTTTTTAATACTACAACAGCCTTCTCCCAGCAACATACTATACTGTACTAAAAGAAACAGAAACTTACCATCATTCATTTAGCAGCTGCCTCGCCAGAAGTGTGCAGATATTAAAATTCAAATGACATTCTGCACTTTAACAGCCCTACCCATAATTCACTTTGCTTCCAGTCTTCAGGACTTGGGTCTCATTAATCAGGTCCCTGAATCTCTTGAAAAATATTACCTTGCTCATACTCAAAAACCACTTCTTTCCACTGGCTTTCAACTAAAACACTTACACATGCTTGTCAGATAATCAAGCCCCTATCACTCAAAACTTCCTTTAACCTCTTCTTCCAGCTCTTCCTAAGAATAACCCCTACCTTTTCTTTCATTCAATCCAAGAAGGGTTGGAGGGAGAGAGTTAAGGAAACTAACTTTAGGGAATACCTGCTTGATACTCAAGCCTCTATCACTTCACACCACCTTCAATCATTCCCTCCTACCCTTCCTGGGATGGACCCTACCCCCCTCCCCCCAAAACAGCAGATGCGATTAAACAATTACCTACAATCTTAATAACACCATTCAATCTTTGGATACTAAACTTACCTTTACATGTCTTCCCATCCTTGTCCAGCTTGTAGTGTGTTGGGCAAGAACAGGTAAAATTTTGGGCACCATTAGTGGATGGAACCGCTAGGCACAAGTGCGAACAGCCACCGTTATCTATTGAACACGGATTCTTTCCTGACTGACGAGATGAATGGAATACCAGAATATCCATTATGAAGTCCAGCTGACCCTTAGAGAAGACAAGAAAATTTTCAGGTAACAAATATATAAATAATATACAAAAGTTTTATATTCATTAGTCCGCCCAGGGAGGTACTACCGTCCTGCCAAGTGAGCGTAAAACGAAAGCCTGTAATCGTTTTACATGATGGTACAATTGCTGGTGTCCTTTTTTCTATCTCATAAACATGCAAGATTTCAGGTACATCTTGCTACTTCTACTTACACTTAGGTCACACTACACATACAAGCATATATATTCATACCCCTCTGGGTTTTCTTCTATTTTCTTTCTAGCTCTCATTCTTGTTTATTTCCTCTTATCTCCATGGGAAAGTGGAACAGAATTCTTCCTCCGTAAGCCATGCGTGTTGTAAGAGGCGACTAAAATGCTGGGAGCAAGGGACTAGTAATCCCTTCTCCCATATAAATTACTGAATTTAAATAGAGAAACTTTCGTTTTTCTTTTTAGGCCACCCTGCCTTGGTGGGATACGGCCGGTTTGTTGGAAAAAAAATATTTATTAGTGATTTTATTACTGGCTATTTCTTCTTCAACTAGCTTTGGGTCCCCTGTTATGCTATATCAACATTAACAGAGCTAGAGGAACATTATTAATCAAGAAGCTCTGTAATCACATGTATAACAAAGCTAACACCTTCAAAACCATTGAGCATTTATGTATAGTAACTGATCACAACAGCACCAATTTTCAATGTCTTTATCCCGTAAACGGTCCAAACGTATATATACGTTCACTACCCCAGTGCCCCAAATATTTTGAAAAATAAAAAAATAGTTTTTTTTTTATTGAAAAAAAAAGAGCACATTTTTCTAAGTGTTATAGGATAAAAAAAATTTGCTAGGGCCAGTACTTACCGAGATATGAGGCAGAGAAGTTGGCACTGGATGCTCACGTGACAGCAACATGGAGTCCTGCCGCTTGCAGAAGTGTTGCCGATATACCTTTTTTTCTATTTTTCATATTACAGTAGGGCCCCGCTTTACGGCGTTTTGCTAATACGGTGATGTCAAATTATGACCAAAATTTGCTATACCCCAAGCGGTCTTTCAAATACGGCACGCCCCACCCCGCCCGGTTTGTTTACATTCTCCATGACCACATATGTTATGTCAGGAAACTTTCCAAAATTTCAAGTGTTTTGCAGTTACTACATATTTCATACGTACTCTGATAATTATACAATGGAAATCAAATTAATCTGTGCAAGACACCCAAAAGTATGAAAAAAATTTTTTTACCACATAAAATATTAATATGTACCTGCAGGTACACATTAAAATCACTAAGTCTCTCTCTACTCATGACGCCAATACTACGTAATAATAATCACTCTTGGGCACATTAACCCTTTGAGGGTTTCAGCCGTACTAGTACGGCTTACGACCCAGGGTTTTTGACAAACTAGTACGCCTAAATTCTAGTGCCCTCAAATCTAGTGGGAGAAAGCTGGTAGGCATACATATGAAAGAATGGGTCTATGTGGTCAGTGTGCACAGTATAAAAAAAATCCTGCAGCACACAGTGCATAATGAGAAAAAAAAAACTTTGACCGTGTTTTTGGAGTAAAATAGCGACTTTGCACTGTATTTTCGTATGGTATTTATTGTTGTACTCTAGTTTTCTTGGTCTCATTTTATAGAATGGAAGACATATTACAGAAATTGACATGATTTTGACTGGTTTTACAATGAAAAGTGCCTTGAAATTGAGCTCAAAGTAGCAGAAATGTTCGATTTTTACCAAAGTTCAAAAGTAAACAAATCATGCCAAGCGTCCAATACACGTCAACTGGTGAGTCTAATATTCTTTCACAAGTGCGTTGATATTATTTATACCATTTCTACACTAATGCAGCAGTCTGCATAACAGTAAATCTTCTATTTTTTGTAAGAATAAAAATTGAAAGTGGAAAGCCAAAGAAATATAAGAGGGGCCTGGGGATGTGACTAACGAACAGAGGAAATGTTATTTTAGTGCCAGGAATGTCTTTCTTGTTTATTCTGGACCCTATTTGAAAATTGGCATCTTTTGAAATTTGTGTGAAATTGGCATCTTTTGAAATTTGTGTGAAATTGGCAAAATTGCTAAATTCTGACCACTGTATTGGATAGTTGAAATCAGTAAATAGGTGGTTTCTTGTACTCATTCAATAGAAAAAAACGGAGTTCTAGAGAAACAGTTATGATTTTTGTCGACTAGTACACTGGAATTGGCCAAAAATAGGGCTCAAATTGGGCAAAATCGCCAATGAGTAAACATCGTCGAGACCGCTAACTTTGAGAGAGCATAATTCCGTAAGTTTTCCATCAAATTTCATACTTTTGGTGTCATTATGATCGGGAAAATATTCTCTATCTTTTCACAACAAAAAATAATTTTTTTTTTAAATTTGGCTGACCCTGAGAACAAGTCTCGGAGAGGGCCTCTCGACCCTCAAAGGGTTAAATGTCTTATTTTACATTAATATAGGCATTTTCATTAATCCATCTATGATATTTTCCTCAAAATTATATATGAAACCCGTTACATAGCATATAAACAAAGAATAATCTTAAAAACAAAATCTGAAAAAAAAAAAAAAAAAAAACTCGGAAATGGTAGGATGTTAAATACCATAAATTTTGGTCATCTTGTCTTGGAACTAATAAGCAACTTGGGATGTCTTGTTAACTGGTAAGCTGGTTTCAAAAACTTGTTTTATGTAGAAAAGCTCTATAATAATTTCATAGACAGTAAACCTTCAATATCACGGACCCAAATATAACACGCTTAAAATTATAGGCAAAATCCACAGAGTAAAGTTAACTTCTTTATTTTCAAGGTTTGTTGCAGTATATTTGTCGTGTACACAGTAATATATATGTATAGAGTACTTCTATGCATTTTATTGTTATTTTTAACATTATTCTTATATAACGGGCACTCGCAATCCCAGTATTAGTCCATTATTTCGAGGATTTACTGCATAACAACAGCATACCTGTATTCTTGTTTGGTTTTCTCCCTTGCTCTTGTTTGCACGCTCAATAGTACCAGTCTTCCAATCTGCCCAGTAAACATAATCTTCATACAATGTTAAACCATATGGCTGAGGCAAATCTCTAACAATGACCTGAAAATATGGGAAGAATTTATGTTAATTACATGAATATTAATGGTAAAATCTGTATTCTCAAACACATGTACAATATATATATACAATATTCAACATAGGTAGTAGGTTAGTAGACAGCGACCACCCAAGGAGGTACTACCGTCCTGCCAAGTGAGTGTAAAGTGGGAGCCTGTAATTGTTTTACATGATGGTAGGATTGCTGGTGTCTTTTGTCTGTCTCATAAACATGCAAGATTGCAGGTATGTCTTGCTACTTCTACTTACACTTAGGTCACAGTACACATACACGTACATGTTTATTTATATACACTCGTCTGAGTTTTCTTTGATTTTATCTTAATAGTTCTTGTTCTTATTACTTTTCCTTTTATATCCATGGGGAAGTGGAATAAGAATCTTTCCTCCGTAAGCCACGCGTGTTGTTGAACTCAACTAAAATGCCAGGAACAATGGGCTAGTATCCCCTTTTCCTGTATAGCCTACTAAAAAGAAAAGGAAGAAAATAGTCAGAGTGGGATGTTTGAATGTGTGTGGATGTTGTGCGAATGATAAGAAAGAGATAATTGTGGATGTTATGAATGAGAAGAAGCTGGATGTCCTGGCTTTAAGTGAAACAAAGCTGAAGGGGGTGGGAGAGTTTCAGTGGGGAGAAATAAATGGGATTAGGTCAGGGGTTTCAAAGAGAGTTAGAGCTAAAGAAGGAGTAGCAATAATGTTAAAGGATAAGCTATGGCAGAAAAAGAAGGACTATAAATGTATTAATTCAACGATTATGTGGAGTAAAATAAAGGTTGTATGTGAAAAGTGGGTTATAGTAAGCATATATGCATCTGGAGAAAAGAGAAGTGTGAGAGGAGAGAGAGAGATTTTGGGAAATGTTGAGTGAATGCATGAGGAGTTTTGAACCAAGTGTGAGAGTAATGGTGGTTGGGGATTTCAATGCTAAAGTGGGTAAAAATTTTGTGGAGAGAGTAGTATGTAAATCTGGGGTGCCAGGGGTAAATGAAAATGGGGAGCCTTTAATTGAGCTATGTGTAGAAAGAGGTTTGGTAATAAGTAATACATATTTTATGAAAAAGAGGATAAATAAATATACAAGGTACGATATAGCACGTAATGAAAGTAGTTTGTTAGATTATGTACTGGTGGATAAAAGGTTGTTGGGAAGGCTCCAGGATGTACATGTTTATAGAGGGGCAACTGATATATCTGATCATTATTTAGTTGTAGCTACAGTTAGAGTAAGAGGTAGATGGGACAATAAGAAAATATCAACAACAAGTAAGAGGTGAAAGTGTATAAACTAAGGGAGGAGGAAGTTTGGGTGAGATATAAGCAACTATTGGCAGAAAGGTGGGCTAGTGCAAGTATGAGTAGTGGGGGGTTGAAAAGGGTTGGAATAGTTTTAAAAATGCAGTATTAGAAAGTGGGGCAGAAGTTTGTGGTTATAGGAGGGTGGGTGCAGGAGGAAAGAGGAGTGATTGGTTGAATGATGAAAGTGTGTGATAAAAGAGAAAAAGGTAGCTTATGAGAGGTTTTTACAAGCAGAAGTGTTATAAGAAGAGCAGAGTATATGGAGAGTAAAAGAAAGGTGAAAAGGTGAAGGGAGTGGTGAGAGTGCAAAAGGACAGCAGATGATAGAGTGGGAAAGGCACTGTCAAGAAATTTTGATGAAAATAAGAAAAAATTTTGGAGTGGGTTAAACAAGTTAAGGAAGCCTAGGGAATGAATGGATTTGTCAGCTAAAAGCAGAATAGGGGAGTTAGTAGATGGGGAGATGGAGGTACTGGTTAGATGGCGAGAATATTTTGAGGAACTTTTAAATGTTGACGAAGAAAGGGAGGCAGTATTTTCATGCACTGGCCAGGGAGGTACACTATCATTTAGGAGTGAAGAAGAGCGAGATGTGAGTGTAGGGGAGGTGAGCGAGGCATTACGTAGAATGAAAGGTGGTAAAGCAGCTGGAACTAACGGGATCATGACAAATGTTAAAAGCCCGGGGTCAAGGGGAACGGGGGGTTGTGGATGCAGATTGCGGATGAGCAAGGAGGTTTTAGAGTGGGTAGGGGATGTGTAGATCAAGTGTTTACATTGAAGCATGCATGTGAACAGTATTTAGATAAAGGTAGGAAGTTTTTATTGCATTTATGGATTTAGAAAAGTCATATGATAGGGTGGATAGGGGAGCAATGTGACAGATGTTGCAAGTTTACAAGTTTTAGAATAATTACAGAGTCTTATTCATAAGTCTAGTTGTAGATTCAATATATATCTTATATTATTTTACTCAGAAAATCTAGTTTGTAAAATTACTCTCATCCTATGATTACAGGCATAGATCCTGATGTAAACTTTTTACTAAATGAATTACACGAATCAAACAGTAACTGTAATTACTATACAGCAGACCAAGCAAAGACATTACTCAGTGCAAACAATAACATAACCATCTTTAACTACAATGTCAGATCCTTGAGCAAACATTATGATGACCTCACAGCATTATTCAATTCCCTTCATTCCAATATATCAATCATCACACTCAAAGAAACCTGGCTTAAGCCTGATATTACAGATGTCTATACCATTCCTGGCTACATGGCCATACACAACTGTAGAACAGACCAGCAAGGGGGAGGAACAGCTATTTTTTTTTTTTTCAACAAGTCGGCCGTCTCCCACCGAGGCAGCTATATACTACTCAAATCAACTCGAATGTATCAATAAATCTTGCACAAGGGACGAACATGGAGAATATATCATAGCCAAATTTAAATCAAAAGACCTGCAAAAACCCCTGACAGTTATAAACATCTACAAAGTACCACAGTCAAACATTTACCACTTTAGTGAAAAACTAGGAAACATGATTACTGATACACACATGAATAAAGACCACCTACTACGAACAGATTTCAACATAAGCATACTACACGACCCAGACCCACAAGTAACCGAATTCACAAACACAATGAGTAACTGCCTGTTGCTACCAGCAATATCTAAACCTACAAGAATCACCGAGACAAGCATCTCCTTAATAGACCACATCTGGACAAACACCATATCCCCTTTAAAATCAGGCATAATCACAGACAACACTACAGACCACTACCCAACCTTTCTCATAACTAATCTGGGCAAACTGCCACAAGACATTACTAAAGTAACCTTCAGACTACATAATGAGACAGCAGTTAACAACTTCATAGCAGCTATGAATAACATCGATTGGCAAAATGAGATCGAAACTTATACAGATATGAATGAATGTATAAATAATTTTCTAAAAAAAAACCCAAAGCCTCTATAACAAACACTGCCCCCAAAAAACTACCATATCACAGCAAAGATCCCTGGCTAACACCAAGCATCCTCAAATCCATTAACACAAAGCACAAATATAAAAAACAGTATAGAATGGGTCAAATAACTAGAGAACAGTCTAAACGTTACTCGTCAGCACTTACCATCCTGATAAGATGATCTAAAAAATTGTATTATGAAAATAGATTACATAACATCAAAGGTGATATAAAAAAAACCTGGAAAACTCTATCTGAAATTCTTGGAACTAAAAAGTTATCCAAAAACAAAACAAGCAAACTAACAAAATCAGATGAATCCCTACTCACACCTACTGAAACAGCGAACAGACTCGATGTTTTCTTCTCCACCATAGGAAAAAATCTAGCGAACAAAATACCAAGCGCAAACACCCGTCCATCAGACTACCTCATAGGTACCTACCCAAATACGCTATTCCTAGCTCCAACCAACCCCATAGAAGTTACGCTCATCATAAACACCCTTAAAAACAAGGCAGGAGACATAAACAACTTGCCTGCTTTTATGTACAAAAAAGCTTCTCAAGTATTGTCACCAATTATTGCAATGCTCTTTAACAAATCCATTGAATCATCTACCTTCCCAACAATCCACAAAATAGCGAGGGTCACTCCGATCCACAAAGGAGGTGACCAAGCTGACTTGAATAACTATAGACCAATATCTAACTTACCACTGCTCTCTAAAATCTTTGAAAAATTAATTCATAGACGGATCTATTCCTACCTCGTCTCACACAACATATTAAACCCTTGTCAGTTTGGATTCAGGAATAATAAAAGCACAAATGATGCTATCATACACATGATAGAACTAATATATACCGCAATCGAAAAGAAAGAAGTCCCGCTGGGCATTTTCATTGATTTATGTAAAGCTTTTGATACAGTCGACTATGAACTGCTGTACTCCAAATTAACGCACTATGGTATCAGAGGTCACTCCCTCCACTACCTAAAATCATACTTTAGTAACAAAACTTAATATGTGTATGCAAATGATGCAAACTCTTCCACCCAAATAATCACAGTAGGAGTCCTACAAGGAAGTGTCCTTGGACCACTCCTCTCTCATCTACATCAATGATCTACTGAATGCATCACAACTACTCAAACCCATATTATTTGCAGATGACACTACATATGTCTTTTCCCACCCAAACACAGTCAATACCGAATTGCAGAAAATATCTGCCTGGATGATGACTAACAAACTTACCCTGAATACTGATAAAACCTATTTCATTCAGTTTGGAAACAAAGCTGCAAATGATCCAATTAACATAACGCTAAACGGATCATCAGTCACAAGACTCACAGAGGGAAAATTCCTAGGTATCCACCTTGACAGTAGCCTTAAGTTCTGGACACACATACAACAAATCACCAAGAAAATCTCCAAGACTGTAGGCATACTATCAAAGATAAGGTACAACGTTCCACAATCAACTCTCCTGGCACTGTACCATTCACTCACATACCCTTATCTTACATATGGAATTTGTGCATGGGGATCAACAACATCCAATCACCTAAAACCCCTAATAACCCAGCAAAAGGCAGCAGTAAGAATGATAAATTCCCACTCCTGCCAGCATACTCCACCAATTTTCAGAAGTCTGAATCTGCTCACCATTAAGAACATCCATACTTATTCATGTGCCTACTACATACACAGAACAATACATGCAAATTTAAACCCTACACTCAAACTTCTCCTCTCCAACCTAAACAGGACACATGACCACAACACAAGACACAGATCTCTTTTTGATGTACCTTGTGTCCATATCACACTGTGTAAAAACTCTATGCACATAAAGGGCTCTAAAATATGGAATTCATTACCAGAAGATATTAAAGTAACCCAGTCTGAAAATCAATTTAGGACTCTTCTCAAAAGCCACTTAATCACCCTAGACTAAACGCTAATACTCAGTACACACATACTCACTCATGTTCTCCCACATCATAACTCCAACAATCACTTTGAACCTTTTATCCATTGTTGACAGGAATATAATTGAATTATTGTTTTCACAAAAAGCATTTTTGAATAGATGATTTTATCTTTTGTCTTATACAAATTTTGATTCACTTATAATTAATAATCAACTGTTCAACTATAAAATAATTACTATCCTACTGTGCAACTATGATATAATCCTTAGTGTTAAGTAGTCTGTAAGCCAATAATGTTGAGTCGGCCCATAATGCCTAGGCATAATAGAGGCTCTCTTTGCATTGCAACCCATTATTGTAAATACAAAATCTCAATGTACTGTTTGCAAAGACATAAAATAAATAAATAAATAAATAAATAAATAAATAGGTGGTAAGTTACAAAATGCTGTAAAGAGTTTTTATGAGGACAGTGAGCCTCAGGTTAGGGTGTGTAGAAGAGAGGGAGACTACTTTCCGGTAAAAGTAGGTCTTACACATGAATGTGTAATGTCACCATAGCTTTTTTTTTTTTTTTTTTTTTTTTCCAACAAGTCGGCCGTCTCCCACCGAGGCAGGGTGACCCAAAAAAGAAAGAAAATCCCCAAAAAGAAAATACCATAGCTATTTAATATATTTATAGATGGGGTTGTAAAAGAATTAAATGCTAGGGTGTTCGGGAGAGGGGTGGGATTAAATTATGGGGAATTAAATACATGTACAAAATGGGAATTGACACAGTTACTTTTTGCTGATGATACTGTGCTTATGAGCGATTCTAAAGAGAAATTGCAAAGGTTAGTGGACGAGTTTCGGAGTGTGTGTAAAAGTAGAAAGTTGAAAGTGGACATAGAAAAGAGTAAGGTGATGAGGGTATCAAATGATTTAGATAAAGAAAAATTGGATATCAAATTGGGGAGGAGGAGTATGGAAGAAGTAAATGTTTTCAGATACAGTGGACCCCCGCATAACGATGGCATCGCATAGCGATTTTTCCGCATAACGATTACTTTTATCGCAAAATTTTTGCCGCGCATACCGATTAAAAACCCGCATACCGATTTTCGTCCGAGACGCGTCCAATGTGCCCTCAGCCAGCCTCACATGTGCCGCTCCGTCCCATTGTTTACCAGCCAGCCTCCGCGGTAACATCCAAGCATACACTCGGAATATTTCGTATTATTACAGTATTTTCGGTGCTGTTTCTGGAAAATAAGTGACCATGGGCCCCAAGAAAGCTTCTAGTGCCAACCCTGTGGTAAAAAGGGTGAGAATTAGTATGGAAATTAAGAAAGATTTTGAAGGGTTTGGGGCTAACCCTGAGAAGCCTATGCCAGTTGTGGAATCCATTGTGCCTACTTCAAAGATTAAGGAAATGTGTGCAGAGTGGGTTGAACTGCAAACCTTTATAGATGAAAATCACCCTGACACAGCTGTTGCAAGCCGTGCTTGTGACTATTTCAATGACAATGTTATGGCCCATTTTAGGAAAGTCTTGAAGGAACGGGAGGTACAGAGCTCTATGGACAGATTTGTTGTGCGACAGAGGTCCAGTGACTCTCAAGCTGGTCCTAGTGGCATTAAAAGAAGAAGGGAAGTAACCCCAGAAAAGGACTTGCTACCTCAAGTCCTAATGGAAGGGGATTCCCCTTCTAAACAGTAAGAAGATAATGCTCTCCCCTCCTCCCATCCCATCAATCATCACCAGATCTTCAATAAAAGTAAGTGTCATGTAATTGTGCATGCCTTTTTCAGTTTGTGTGTATTAAAATTAACATTTCATGTGGTAAAAAAAAATTTTTTTCATACTTTTGGGCGTCTTGCACGGATTAATTTTATTTCCATTATTTCTTATGGGGAAAATTCATTCGCATAACGATTATTTCGCATAACGATGAGCCCTCTTGCACGGATTAAAATCGTTAACCGGGGGTCCACTGTATTTGGGAGTTGACGTGTCGGCGGATGGATTTATGAAGGATGAGGTTAATCATAGAATTGATGAGGGAAAAAAGGCGAGTGGTGCGTTGAGGTATATTTGGAGACAAAAAACGCTATCTATGGAGGCAAAGAAGGGAATGTATGAAAGTATAGTAGTACCAACACTCTTATATGGGTGTGAAGCTTGGGTTGTAAATGCTGCAGTGAGGAGGAGGTTGGAGGCAGTGGAGATGTCCTGTCTAAGGGCAATGTGTGGTGTAAATATTATGGAGAAAATTCGGAGTGTGGAAATTAGGAGAAGGTGTGGAGTTAATAAAGTATTAGTCAGAGGGCTGAAGATGGGTTGTTGAGGTGGTTTGGTCATTTAGAAAGAATGGATCAAAGCAGTATGACATGGAGAGCATATAAATCTGTAGGGGAAGGAAGGCAGGGTAGAAGTCGTCCTCGAAAAGGTTGGAAGGAAGGGGTAAAGGAGGTTTTGTGGGCAAGGGGCTTGGACTTCCAGCAAGCGTGCGTGAGCGTGTTCGATAGGAGTGAATGAAGACGAATGGTATTTGGAACCTGACAAGCTGTTGGGGTGTGAGCAGGGTAATATTTAGTGAAGGGATTCAGGGAAACCGGTTATTTTCATGATATTGGCAGTTTGGAGGGATATGTTGTGTATCTTTATATGTGTATGCTTCTAAACTGTTGTATTCTGAGCACCTCTGCAAAAACAGTGATAATGTGCGAGTGTGGTGAAAGTGTTGAATGATGATGAAAGTATTTTCTTTTTGGGGATTTTCTTTCTTTTTTGGGTCACCCTGCCTCGGTGGGAGACGGCCAACTTGTTGAAAAAAAAAAAAAAAAAAAAAAAAAAACCTGCACTTTAAAGGAGGGGTTTGGGGTATTGGCAGTTTGGAGGGATATGTTGTGTATCTCTTTAGATATATGCTTCTAAACTGTTGTAGTCTGGGCACCTCTACAAAAACAGTGATTATGTATGAGTGAGGTGAATGTGCTGAATGATGATGAAAGTATTTTCTTTTTGGGGATTTACTTTTTTTTTTGGGTCACCCTGCCTCGGTGGGAGACGGCCGACTTGTTAAACAAAAAAAAAAAAAAATATTCAATAATCAAAAACACTGCTAATTTCATGCAAGTTCTAAATTATTAAAAAATAAAAAGCTTACCTCTCTGTTATGACCATTTAAATCACTACTCTCTATAAGAAAATTGTCAATGTCTGTCCAATACAGACGACTATCTTTGAAATCGATAGTAAGGCCATTTGCCCGACCCATTTTGGTAACAATAGGAGATGGTTGTGAAGCATCTAGATGGGCACGAGATATGCTTGGCTCATCTCCCCATTCTGACCTACGGAGAAAATAGAAAAATATTTTTGTAATTATAAATTAACCCTTTCACTATCATGCAGATCTTTGTTACTGAGTGCCATAATTATGCTGCAAGCAATAAATTTTGACCTAGACATGAAAATGGTCTGTGTGGTGGGTGTGCACAGTATAAAAACACACCTACCCCACAGTGCATGATTGGAACAACTAACCCCTGACCTAGTATTTGGTTTAAAATAGCAACTTTAGGGTATGCTCTAAGGTGGCTTTCATGATTTCACTGGATGTTTCTGGATACCAATTGATAGAATGAAAGAAATACTAGTAAAATAGAGACAATTTTCAACAATTTCAGACCAGAAGTGGCTTGAAATAGGCCTCAAAAAGTTTCTGAAATATTCAAGTTTTGGTATTTTCCTTAGCAAGGCTAGTCAGCATCTCCCAATCAATTTTATGGGTTTTACTAGGTCTGTGTCAATTACTTTGATGTCCTGAATCACTATCAATTATTCTTATATTTTATTAGCCGAGAAATAGGGCAAACATCAATTTTTTTGTGTGACAATGAATTCAAACTGCAGGACAAGTGTTACAGAGGAGAGGCTCAGGGATGCAATTAATAAACAGAGGAAGGAAAGCTTTCTTTTGTACCTGCAATGCCTACAGCGTTTATTTTGAACTGTTTTTCAAACTGAAAAGTGATGAATTTTGAGTAAAATTGGAATTACAGACTTCTGCACACTTTATAGGTCAGTTCTGAGGGTTAAATAGGCAAAAGGCACACCACTGAAATATCCAGGAAGTCAGTCAGTTTGAGCAATGGAATTGTCCTACAACAGGCCTCAAAGTGGGTGAAATCACTGGTGTGTACACTGTGCCCAGACTGCCAAATTTGATTCTCAATTTTAGGATGTAATTTTTTGTTTGAACTTTGACAGTGAAAGGGTTAAATGGTGGATTATATACCTCTTAAAATGTATTTGTGAGAAGGAATAAGAGGCAAAGTCACCTTGAGATATATTATGAAGAGAATCCAAATAATTTAAGTTCAGTAGACTATCGTTTAACACGGTAGTTACATTCCTGAAAACGCCGTGTTAGGCAAACTGAAGAACTTAAGGAAAAATAGGTTTGCGTTCCTGGGAGCCCCCAAAAAGCCAAAACTTTTTTTTAGACCTCCAGATCTTACAAAAATAAAAGGAATATGTAATTGTAGTTCACTGTCATGATGTATTATGTTGTTTTTACTGCTTAAGACTACAAATGCAACAGAAATAATGGTATGTCTTCCCTTAAATTGTGAGTGCTGGTGTTTGTCGATGATTGTGAAAAAGTGAAAAAGTCTAGCTTTAAGTCATTCAATAAGTCAGTCAAGTCAGTAAGTTATTCAGTCAAATCAGTAAGTCATTCAGTAAGCCAAGTCATTCATTCAGTAAGTCAGTCAAGTCATTCAGTAAGTCATTCAGCAAGTAATTCAAGCCATTCAGTCAGTCAAGTCAGTCAGTCAGTCAGTCAAGTCAGTTAAGTCAGTCAGTCATCACACAAACTCATATTTACCTCATTCTTTTTGTGTACAAAATGACGCTTCATTCCGGCTACAGGCTATCTCATCTAATATCTCTATATTTTCTTTCTTAATTCTAAGACTTAAATGCTTAAACCTTTTCTTGCTACTTTCAGCAATACTTGTATGCCTATTGGGTGCCATGATTGCTTGGCAGATTTAAGATATGGCAATTAATACGTAACTAAACAAACACAGCGAGCTACTGGCACAAGTTTGTCCAACACACGTATGAACCGAGCTGAAGTTTGGGAGGATGGTGGGGGTGGCTGATGCTGGCAGGGGATAGCAGTAGCCCATCCCACCCCACGGGCAACCGTGCACTCAAAATGTTTTACCTCCTGCAACATTGTTAAATTAATTTTACGCGTTAAAAATATGCTGCAATTCTTCAATCGTGCTATGACCATAATGTGCAAGACAAAAACCGTGTTAAACGACGGTCTACTGTACTAATATATGTACAGTGGACCCTCGTTTTTCGTAATTAATTCATTCCAGAGAGTGTGACTATTATCGAAATTGACGATTTGCGAGTCCATTTTCCCCATAAGAAATAACGTAAATCCAATTAATTCATTCCAGACACCCAAAAATATCAGTAAAAAAAATTTTTTTACCTTAAAGATAGATTTACATGCATAAAAGAATGAACATTCAACATGACAGTTACCTTTAACCCTTTGACTGTCGCGGCCGTATATATACGTCTTACGAGGTACCATGTTTGACGTATATATACTCATAAATTCTAGCGGCTTCAAATCAAGCAGGAGAAAGCTGGTAGGCCCACATGTGAGAGAATGGGTCTGTGTGGTCAGTGTGCACCATATAAAAAAAAATCCTGGAGCACGCAGTGCATAATGAGAAAAAAAAACTCAGACCGTATTTTTTTTTAATTAAAATGCCGACTTTGTGGTCTATTTTCGTATAGTATTTATGGTTGTATTCTCGTTTTCTTGGTCTCATTTGATAGAATGGAAAACATATTATAGAAATAGAGGTGATTTTGATTGATTTTACTATAAAAAGAACCTAGAAATGGAGCTCAAAGTAGGGGAAATGTTTGATTTTTGCCAATGTTCAAAAGTAAACAAATGATGCCATTGTCCAATAAATGTCCAACTAGCCATTCTAATATGCAGTCATGAATGGGTTGATGTTATTTATACAATTATTACAGTATTGCAGTAGTCTGCATAATAGTAAATCTTCTATTTTTGTTTGAATAAAAATTCAAAATAGAAAGCAGAGGGGCCTGGAGACATGACTGATGAGCAAAGAAAATGTTATTTTAGAGCCAGGAATGTCTGCATTGTTCATTCTGGACCTTATTTTGAAATTGTCATATTTTTTAGTTTACGTGAAATTGGCCAAATTGCAAATTTCTGACCACATTATTAGGTAGTTGAAATCGGTAATGGGCAGTTTCTTGTACTCAATCGATAGAAAAAATGGAGTTCTAAAGAAAAAGCTATGAGTTTGGGCGACTGGAACAATGGAATTGGCCGAAAATAGGGCTCAAAGTGGGCAAAATCGCTGATTTGTAAATAGCGCCGAGGTCGCTAACTTCGCGAGAGCATAATTCCGTCAGTTTTCCATCAAATTTCGTTTTTTTGGTGTCATTACAATCGGGAAAAGATTCTATCATTTCATAAGAAATTTTTTTTTTTTAAATTTTGCGACACCAGGAGACACCTCAGGATTGGGGGTTGCGACAGTCAAAGGGTTAATGAAGGCAGTTATTGATGAATGGAAGACAAGGAGGAGGAGAGAGAGAGAAGAGAGGTTATTGTTTGGAAGGGGAATCCCCCTCCTAAGGACTCTAGGTCACTTCAGGGGTCACTTCCCTAGCTTAAATATAGATTTACATGCAGAAAAGAATGCCAAATAAATGTAAAGCACTAATAAAATGTATAAATGAACATTTAACATCACACTTACCTTTACTGAAGATTCTTGTTGGTGTATGGCAGACGGGCAGAGGGAGGGGAGGCGAGTTTATTGTTGGAGAATATGAACCCTACCAGGGGCGGGATTTGAACCCGCGGTCAGAGTGTCTCAAAACTCCAGACCATGGTATGGTTTGTTTGCAATCGTGTCATTACGATTTCATGAGTCTTGGAGAATATGACATTAATATCAACTCTATGGCTTATTTATCTATCACAATTCAACTAATCTGACATAATAAACAATATTAAAAACACAGAAACATGGAATATACTCTAGAATGAATAAAATAAGTCATTATGAATGTCACAAGAGGTGTTCTGTTTTTGTTGTTGGGTGTATAAGGGCTACTTTGAGCATGAGCCGTCCATAATGGTGGTGAAGCAGCAGCTGAGGTGGCGGTGTTTTCTGTAGCCCTATATAACTCCAACAACACTGGAGGAGTTAGCAGAATCACTGAAGAAGGCACCCTCTACCACCATCACAACCACTACCACCCTCTACCACTACCACCCTCTATCACTATCACAACTGTTACCACCCTCTACCATTATCACAATTGCTACCACTCTACCACCACCACTTTCATATTTTTCTACACACTTTTTCTTAAATTGTCTGTGTTTCTCGCATTCTTTACCAAAGGGCTGCCACTAGAAGCTTTCTTTGGAGACATGGTGACTTATTTAGCAGTTGCAAGCACTAAAACGAATAGAATATTATGAAATGTATCGTATGAACCCGTGGGATCATCCTCACTCACTGATAAACAACGGCACACTGGCTGGGAATGGAGTGTGAGGCGGCTTGGGGCTGTGCGTATGCATCCCAGACAAACGGCTATCTGCGAGTCAAACGACGATTTGCGAGTCAATGTTTTAATGAAAAAAAAAGTTACGATTTCTGAAAATTACAACTTTCAAGTATTACAAAAAACGAGGGTCCACTACATATATAAACTTTCAGAAACACGTCAGAACTACAAGGTTTAACCCTTTGAGGGTCCGTGCCATATATCTACGGCTATACGTTGTGGGTCCAAACCGTAGATCTACGCCATAAGCTCAGCTCACTCTGATAAGCTGTGGGCAGTAAATTTGGGCCTAGATATGAGAGAATACATCTATGTGGTATGTGTGCACCACATAAAACAAATCCTGCAGCACACAGTGCATAATGAGAAAAAAAACGAGACCGTAATTTTCAATTAAAACAGCAACTTTGCAGTGTTTTTTCATATGTTTTTTATAGTTGAATTTACGATTTCTTGGTCTCATTTGATAGAACTGGAAGATATATTACAGAAACAGAGATGATTTTGATTGGTTTAGTAATGGAAATGGGTTGAAACCAAGCTCAAAATAGCAGAAATGTTAAATTTTTGCCGATGTTCAAGAGTAAACAAATGATCCCACACGTCTAATACACGCCAGCTGGTGGGTCTAATATACATTCACAAATGTGCTGATATTATTTATACAATTATTACAGTATTGCATAAAAGTAAATCTTCTATTTTTTTAGTTTGAATAAAAATTCATTATGTGAATAAAAAATCAAAATGGAATTCATTTGTAAAGCCTGAAAACATAACTAATGAATAGAGGAAATGTTAGTTTAGTTCCAGGAATGCCTGCATTGTTTATTCTGGACCCTATTTTGAAATTAGAATATTTTGAACTTTGCATTAAATTGGCCAAATTACCAATCAGTTTATTTTGTAGTTGAAACAGTTGACTTGGCGATTTCTTGTGCTCAATTGATAGAAAAGAAGTAATACTAGTGAAGTAGCTAAGAATTTGGTTGACTGGAGTAATATAATTGGCCTAAAATGGGAGTCAAAGTCGGCAAAATCGCCGTTGCGTAAATATCGCTGACACATCAAAATTCGCAAGAGCATAATTTCGTCAATTTTTCATCAAATTTCATACTTTTTGTTTTATTACCTTCAGAAAAAGATTCTCTACCATTTCATAAGAAAAAATAACAAAATTATTTTTTGGAAACTCTTGGACACTGGTGCATCCTTTGAAATTTGGCCTTTGGACCCTGAAAGGGTTAAATCTAAAATATCTAAACACGAATGAGCTCTCATTTTTTTTAACACAATGGCCATCTTCCACCGAGGCAGGGTGACAAAAAAAAAACACTTTCACCTTCATTCACACAATCACTGTCTTTGCAGAGGCATGCAGGTACGACAGTTCAGATGTCACTCCAAACAGCAAATATCCCCAACCCTTTCTTTAAAGTGCAGGAAGTGTACTTCCCACCTCCAGGACTCGAGTCCTGCTAACCGGTTTCCCTGAATCCCTTCACAAAATATTACCCTGCTCACACTCCTACAGCTCGTCAGGTCCCAAAAACCATTTGTCTCCATTAACTCCTATCTAACACACTCACATACCTGCTGCATGTGAGAGTATTACTGCAAAACAATTGGTAAATATTCTTTGTTGAAAAAAAAAATGAATTAAATAATGAATATCATGGGTTGAGAATGCCTGTCTCATTGTAACATCAGTGAACACAGGAAAATAGGTTGGGAGAACCGAGTAATCAACTTCAAAGTTTCAGGAATGCATTAACACCAGTGGGGGACCCACTGTACCTGGAAAAAGCACTCCTGATTCAAACAAACCCAAAATATTTGTTACCAGTACATGAATCCCTGACCCGGATCAAGCGCCAGGGACTTTGGACTGGCAATGTTCTGCCACAGGAGAACCCTTCTTGATGTTCCATTCAATCTTGCAACTTCAATTCTGTAATTACAAATAAATATCAACACTGGGGGAATGCATAATTCAATGGTGACCCTACAAAAATGAAAATAAAATTGATTGACTTTTCTGTATATTAAATGAAATTTAGAGAAAAAGTTAGTTCCTGATAGCATCTCAGAGAGTATGGTTACAGTATAAGGTAACCACAATTTGTTTACAGAAACCAATATTGGCTTTTTCTTAATATTGGGTTATACACAAATAACCCACACAAAGGAAAAAGAAACTTATAACAGTATTTCAGTACAACCTGGACAATTAACTAGCGAGTTACTAGTTAATGGCCCAAGTCAGGCTGAAACATCATCATAAGTTCCTTTCTCTCTCTCATGTGTGGGCTATTTGTGTATTGTTCCAGTCACAATATTGTGCCTTTTTTTTTTTTCAACATATTGGCTGCTTCCCACCGACGCAGGGTGACAAAAAAAAAAAAAAAAAAAAAAAAACTACAAAGGTAAGAAAAAGCTTTCATCATGACTCAACACTTTCACCATCACTCATACATTATCACTGTCTTTGCAGAGGCGCTCAGATATGAAAGTTTAGACGTACCTCCAAACTGCCAATATCCTAAACCCCTCCTTTAAAGTGCAGGAATTGTACTTCCCATTTCCAGTACATGTACTCAAGTCTGGCTAACCAGTTTCCCTGAATCCCTTCACAAAATATTACCCTGCTCACACTCCAACAGCTCGTCAGGTCCCAAAAACCATTCATTTCCATTCGTTCCCATCTAACATGCTTACACACGCTTGCCGGAAGTCCAAGCCCCACGCCCACAAAACCTCCTTTACCCCCCTCCCCCCAACATATTTGGGGATGACCCCTACCCCGCCTTCCTTCCCCAAGAGATTTATATGCTCTTCAAGTCATTCTACTTTGTTCCATTCTCTCTAAATGACCAAACCACCTCAACAACCCCTCTTCAGCCTTCTGACTAATACTTTTAGTAACCCCACACTTCCTCCTATTTCCACACTACGAATTCTCTGCATAATATTTACACCACACACTACCCTTAGACACGACATCTGCACTGCCCCCGGTCACCTCCTCACTGCAGCATTTTCAACCCAAGCTTCACACCCATATAAATGTGTTGGTACCACTATACTCTTGTACATTCCCTTCTTTGCCTCCATGGATAATGTTCTTTCTCTCCACAGATACCTTAATGCACTATTCACTTTTTTTCCCTTCATCAATTCTATGGTTTACCTCATCTTTCATAAACCAATCTGCTGACAAGTCAACTCCCAAATATCACTTCCTACTTACTCCCTCCCTCCAATGGAACATCCTGTTGTTCTTTCTCTAAATCATTTGATACCCTCATCACCTTACTCTTATCTATATTAATTTTCAACTTTCTACCTTTACACACCCTCCCAAACTCATCAACTAACCATTGCAACTTTTCTTTAGAATCCTCCAAAAGCACATTATCATCAGGAAAAAGTAACTATCAATTCCCAATTTGTATTTGATTCCTCATAACTTAATCCCACCCCTCTCCCAAACACCCTAGCATTTACTTCTTTTTACAACCCCATTTATAAATATATTAAACAACCATGGTGACATTACACATCCCTGTCTAAGACCTCCTTTTACTGGGAAGTAATCTCCCTCTCTCCTACACACCCTAACCTGAGCCTGACTATCCTCATAAAAGCTCTTTACAGCATTTAGTAACTTACTACCTATTCCATACACTTGCAACATCTGCCACATTGCTCCCCTAACCACTATCATATGCCTTTTCTAAATCCTTAAGTGCAATGAAAACTTCCCTACCTTTATCTAAATACTGTTCACATATATGCTTCAATGTAAACACTTGATCTACACATCCCCTACCCATTTTAAAGCCTCCTTGCTCATCTGCATCTGTGCCTTTCAATTCTTTATAAATATTGGCTTAACTGACAATTTTTTGCAAACGATAACACGAGAGATTTGTTTTTGCTCATGTCTGCTATGAGGGAGAGAGAGTAATATTCTAAGGACTGGATCTTCCTTGCTGTAAATTTGTAGGTAACTGAATGAGAGAGAAAACACTAGTAGCTACAGTAAACACTAGTAATACCATAGTACCCACTTCCAACATCCTTCACACTTCAGGGGAATAATAAGAGTTTCACACACTTTAAAGCAGATTACCATTTGTTAAATACTTATGTGGTTGCAGTGAAAATAACTAGAAAAATTACCACTTCAATAACCTCAAATAAATTTTCAGGCACTTATTTAGGATAATGTATACAACCACTGCTAATTAATCCAGTACCTACTAAAACAATACATATTTAAATTTTAAACATTACTTGAGAAGTTTACCTGTTGTTCCCCATGTCTGCCCAGTAAATGTTTCGAGCCAACCAGTCTACAGCCATGCCCTCGGGATATGCAAGTCCAAACTCTATTACAGGCTCCATCTGGGACCCGTTCATAAAGGCACGAGAGATGGACTTAACACTGATATCTGTCCAATACAGGCGGTTATCAACACTGTCAAAATCAATGGACCTGAAATAAAAAAGTTAAATTTTTTTTTTTTATTATCACACTGGCCGATTCCCACCAAGGCAGGGTGGCCCGAAAAAGAAAAACTTTCACCATCATTCACTCCATCACTGTCTTGCCAGAAGGGTGCTTTACACTACAGTTTTTAAACTGCAACATTAACACCCCTCCTTCAGAGTGCAGGCACTGTACTTCCCATCTCCAGGACTCAAGTCCGGCCTGCCGGTTTCCCTGAACCCCTTCATAAATGTTACTTTGCTCACACTCCAACAGCACGTCAAGTATTAAAAACCATTTGTCTCCATTCACTCCTATCAAACACGCTCACGCATGCCTGCTGGAAGTCCAAGCCCCTCACACACAAAACCTCCTTTAACCCCTCCCTCCAACCTTTCCTAGGCCGACCCCTACCCCGCCTTCCTTCCACTACAGACTGATACACTCTTGAAGTTATTCTGTTTCGCTCCATTCTCTCCACATGTCCGAACCACCTCAACAACCCTTCCTCAGCCCTATGGACAACAGTTTTGGTAATCCCGCACCTCCTCCTAACTTCCAAACTACGAATTCTCTGCATTATATTCACACCACACATTGCTCTCAGACATGACATCCCCACTGCCTCCAGCCTTCTCCTCGCTGCAACATTCATCACCCATGCTTCACACCCATATAAGAGCGTTGGTAAAACTATACTCTCATACATTCCCCTCTTTGCCTCCAAGGACAAAGTTCTTTGTCTCCACAGACTCCTAAGTGCACCACTCACCCTTTTCCCCTCATCAATTCTATGATTCATCTCATCTTTCATAGACCCATCCGCTGACACGTCCACTCCCAAATACTGTATCTGAATACATTCACCTCCTCCATACTCTCTCCCTCCAATCTGATATCCAATCTTTCATCACCTAATCTTTTTATTATCCTCATAACCTTACTCTTTCCTGTATTCACTTTCAATTTTCTTCTTTTGCACACCCTACCAAATTCATCCACCAATCTCTGCAACTTCTCTTCAGAATCTCCCAAGAGCACAGTGTCATCAGCAAAGAGCAACTGTGACAACTCCCACTTTATGTGTGATTCTTTATCTTTTAACTCCACGCCTCTTGCCAAGACCCTCGCATTTACTTCTCTTACAACCCCATCTATAAATATATTAAACAACCACGGTGACATCACACATCCTTGTCTAAGGCCTACTTTTACTGGGAAATAATTTCCCTCTTTCCTACATACTCTAACTTGAGCCTCACTATCCTCGTAAAAAAAAAATTAAAAAAAAAAAAATTAAAAAAGTTAAAATTTTCATAAAAACTAGTAGAAAGCTTTGGTCGTAGAAATGTAGTTTTATTTACAAGAACTGTACTGATGGATTTTCTGCAGATTAGTTCATAATCTGGTCACGCACACAAAACAGAATAGCCCAACCACAACTATTTTCAAACCACCTTATTTATCTAATCCTCAAGGATGGCACACTTAAATTACCCTCACTTATGCATTTGTTTTATTATTTTTTAACACAATGGGGTGCTGCTCTGTAATCTTTCGACTAATGCCCACAGGATGGACAGTGGGTGCATAATAAGGATATCAAAATAACTTAAACACAATATTCAATGTTTCCAAGGACTATCATGTCCAGATGGAAAGAGAAGTACATCCTAGTACAATAGTCAGAAAACAGATGAAACACATTTTTACATGCACAGTTTACTTATGAAAAATCGTTATTAAGGAGATATACACAAATAATCCTCACATCGGAGAGAGATGCTTATGATGACATTTTGGCATGACTCGTAAATGGTTCAAGTCAGACTGAAACGTCGTCTCCTATTTGCGGGTTATTTGTACAGTGTTCCAGTTATGGTATTGTGCCTTTTTGTTCTTGGTAAGGAAATGCATGGTTGGAAATAGTAACTCCTTAAGAAACAGATGGTGACTTTACACTAGGTAGCACCATATTTGCTGTGGTTTGCTAGACTTTTATTTTTTGTGCTACACCTTCATACCTTTATATCACCCATTCAATTTTTTTTTCTAACATGCTGGCCATCTCCCACTAAGGCACAGTGACCCAAAAAAGAAACACTGTCACCATCATTCACACTTTTAATTTCCTATAGAGTGCTTGCACTATAGTTGCCACCTCCAGGACTCAAGTCTGGCTAAGCAGCTTCCCTGAAATCTTTCACAAAATAATACCCTGCTCACACTCCAACAGCTAGTCAAAACCCAAAAACCATTTGTCCCCACTCAAACTTATCTAAAACACTCACACGTCTGCTGTATGTCCAGGCTACTTGCACACAAAACCTCCTTACCCCCTCCTTTCATCCTTTCCTAGGATGACCCCTACCCCACCTTCCCTCCACTACAGATTCAAAATATTCTTTTCACTTCTCTGTCTTCCTTACATCACATTTCTAGTAAAGCTCTTTATTCTCAAGCTACTTGCCTCAACCTTTCACCTCTCTAATGGCAGACCTCATTTACTCTACACATGCTTGCTTTCATGACCAAGCAGTAATACATGAAATTCTATTTAAAACATTTATTTATGTAAGAACTGTTGACTTACACATTTCAATTTAACATTGTATACACATCCCCTACCCTTCCTAAACTCCATGTTTCTCTGCAATCCTACTCTTGTTCTTAATTCTTCCAATAAGGACTACTATACACTTTACCTGATATTCTCAACCCTTTATTTGTAACACAATGGCTGTCTCCCATGAAAGTAGGGTGCCCAGAAAAAGAAGAAACACTGTCATCATTATTCACTCTATCACTGTCTTGCCAGAAGCACACTACCACCACCATTCAGATGCACCTCCAATATGCAAATATCCCCAACCCACCTTAAGAGTTCAGGCACTGTACTTCCCACCTCCAGGACTCAAGTCCAGCTAACCGGTTTCCCTGAATCCCTTCACACGTGTTACCTTGCTCACTCTCCAACAGATCATCAAGTTCCAAAATCCATTTGCCTCCACTCACACCTATCTAACATGCTCACACATGCCTGCTGGATATCCAAGCCCCACTCACACAAAACCTCCTTAATCCCCTCCCTTCAACCTTTCCTAGGGAGACCCCTATCTCCACTACTGATTTATACACTCTGAGTCATCCATTTTGCTCCATCCTCTCTCAATGTCCAAACTACTTCAACAATCCCTCCTCAGCCCTTTGGATGATACTTTTTATTAACTGCATCTCCTCCTAATCCCCAGGCTATGAATTCTCTACATAAAATTTACACCACACACTGCCCTTAGACACATCTCCACTGCCTCAAGCTTCCTCCTCATTGCAATATTCACAATCTATGTTTCACACTCATGTAAGAGTGTTGGTACCACAATACCCTCATACATCACCCTTTTCACCTCCATGGATAATGTTGTCTCCACAGATGCCTCAATGCACCACCCACCTTTTTTCCTCTCATCAATTTTATGATTCACCTTATCTTTCATTGACCCATCCACTGACAAGTCCACTCCCAAATATCTGAATCATTTACTTCCTTCATATTCCCTCCTTTCAGACTTATTCCCTTATAATTTTTACATTTTTTATCCCCCTTTACCCTTATACAAAGGAACCTATCATGCTCCCTGCCAATTGCTAAATATTTTTCCCCCTCCCTTCCATGAATATAATGAACAAATGCTCCTACCTCTCCAAAACTGTGTCCCACATGCTCTTAACACTTCTGTGTCGATCCAATGTATCCCAGCTGCTTTTCATTCCATTCACTGCCTCACAAATCATCCCCCCCATACTCACATCTGGCTCTTCCTCACTCCTAAAAGATGTTATACCTCCCTGCCCAATACATGAAATCACTACCTGCCTTTCTTCACTTAATCAAACCATACCATGGGCGGGAATAGAACCCAAGATCAGAGAGTCTCACAACTCCAGACCGTCGCGTTAGCCACTGGACCAGCTAGCCACAGTAAGATTCGTCCAACTAGGTATATTTCTACACCATAGGAAGGTTAGCATAGGCACCACTGTGACCACAAATGCAAGTTTTTACAGATGAATCTCCAGCTAGCGTGGCCGTGGCGAACTCTAGCTCAAGTCCCCTCAAAGCCGTTAACATGACTCACGAAATCGTAATGACACGATTGCAATCGTGTCATTACAATTTCTTGGTTCACTTAATCATTAATACAATTTCTCTCACCTTAGAAAAAATAATTTATTCAATAATGCTGTCACAACAATGAAAAAAGTGATTAAGAGATCCTGAAATAAGAAAATGCTGAAGCAAGAAAGTGAGTAGACTTACATGGCTTCCTGAATACCAGTAACAGGGATGGGAACATTATGGCTGGTAAGGAGTGAGATCCGCCTGATGTCTTCCTTCCTTGTGTACAAGAGAAAGGCTTCAGGCACCACACACTGTTTTTCATTTTGGGTGAGCTCATAGCCTGTCAAAATGGGTACAACAGAGTTGATTCTCAAGTTACAAGTTCTTTAGAGTTCCAATGGACATATTTAACTTTTTTTTTTTTCCTAAAAAAAAAAAAAAAAAAAAAAAAAAAAAATCTGCCAATGAGTAAATTACACATTCAATCAAGCAATTATATTTTGGATCTACAGTGGACCCCCGACTTACAATCAGCTCCCAACTCAAACAATTATGTAAGTGTGTGTTTTTTAAGTGCTTATGTAAGTGTATTTTTGGGGGTCTGAAACGGACTAATCTAATTTACAATATTCCTTATGGGAGCAAATTCGTTCGGTAACGGCACCCGAACAGCCTTCTGGAATGAATTAATATCGTAAGTCGGGGGTCCACTGTATCCTTTCCTTGTATTATATTTTATGCCCACAAAGAAAATGAAATTTTGTTCATGTAAACATTGTTGTAATGCTAGACATATTATATAACCATTCAGAAAGAAAATTAAATTTCTAAGGCCACATGTACCAATTGGACATCCGCAGGTGTAGTTAGTGGGTCTATTAAGACATAGGTGAGAACATCCACCATTGTTTATGTGACAAGGATTGGAGCCAGCTTTCTTGCTTACATTCACCGCCTTCAGTCCCATCAAGTCTGGTAGCTGCTCCACAATAACCTCACGCTGAGTCGCTGCAAAGATTACATGTTATTCATTTGTTAAGAAATGCATTTTTTTCCAGTATCATTTTTTTAGTACTTTCAGCTATTCTTATTTTTTTTTTATAAATATCTACTAATTGTTAACCATATCCTACAAAACATAATACAGTAGTGCTGACTTACAAGGTTTGCACTTACAACACTGGCATTTTGAAACCAATTAATTACTCATGAACAATGACTTGCTCATCCGACATCGGGACAAATATATTTATTATTTTCTTAAGGATAAATTATGAGTATTTTTTTTTTTTATGAGATGCTTTCAAACTTTGTGTACATACATTTTTTGCATGCATAGAGTACCAATACTTGTTTGGCAAAGACTGGACGAGAGCTGAAAATTTAATATTTATATTACGTACGTTAGTAACTTAAAATATTAAATCAGCACTCTTAGTTGTATTGTGGATGCTACAATCTGAGGCAATACACCACACAATACTCATATTCACATCCACCTATTCCTTCTCACACTCAAACCATACACACTAACACCCACCAATCCTCTTTCACGCCCACACCACTCACCTGTAACTGTTTTGCATGATGGTAGGATTGCTGGTTTTCTTTTTCTGTCTCATAAACACGCTAAGATAACAGGGATATCTTGCTACTCCTACTTACACTTTGGTCACACTTCACAGACACGCACATGCATATATATATATACATACATCTAGGTTTTCCTCTTTTTTCTAAATAGCTCTTGTTCTTTTTTATTTCTTCTATTGTCCATGGGGAAGTGGAAAAGAATCTTTCCTCCGTAAGCCATGCGTGTCGTATGAGGCGACTAAAATGCCGGGAGCAATGGGCTAGTAACCCCTTCTCCTGTATACAATTACTAAAAAAGAGAAGAAGAAAAACTTTATAAAACTGGGTTGCTTAAATGTGCGTGGATGTAGTGCGGATGACAAGAAACAGATGATTGCTGATGTTATGAATGAAAAGAAGTTGGATGTCCTGGCCCTAAGCGAAACAAAGCTGAAGGGGGTAGGAGAGTTTCAGTGGGGGGAAATAAATGGGATTAAATCTGGAGTATCTGAGAGAGTTAGAGCAAAGGAAGGGGTAGCAGTAATGTTAAATGATCAGTTATGGAAGGAGAAAAGAGAATATGAATGTGTAAATTCAAGAATTATGTGGATTAAAGTAAAGGTTGGATGCGAGAAGTGGGTCATAATAAGCGTGTATGCACCTGGAGAAGAGAGGAATGCAGAGGAGAGAGAGAGATTTTGGGAGATGTTAAGTGAATGTATAGGAGCCTTTGAACCAAGTGAGAGAGTAATTGTGGTAGGGGACTTGAATGCTAAAGTAGGAGAAACTTTTAGAGAGGGTGTGGTAGGTAAGTTTGGGGTGCCAGGTGTAAATGATAATGGGAGCCCTTTGATTGAACTTTGTATAGAAAGGGGTTTAGTTATAGGTAATACATATTTTAAGAAAAAGAGGATAAATAAGTATACACGATATGATGTAGGGCGAAATGACAGTAGTTTGTTGGATTATGTATTGGTAGATAAAAGACTGTTGAGTAGACTTCAGGATGTACATGTTTATAGAGGGGCCACAGATATATCAGATCACTTTCTAGTTGTAGCTACACTGAGAGTAAAAGGTAGATGGGATACAAGGAGAATAGAAGCATCAGGGAAGAGAGAGGTGAAGGTTTATAAACTAAAAGAGGAGGCAGTTAGGGTAAGATATAAACAGCTATTGGAGGATAGATGGGCTAATGAGAGCATAGGCAATGGGGTCGAAGAGGTATGGGGTAGGTTTAAAAATGTAGTGTTAGAGTGTTCAGCAGAAGTTTGTGGTTACAGGAAAGTGGGTGCAGGAGGGAAGAGGAGCGATTGGTGGAATGATGATGTAAAGAGAGTAGTAAGGGAGAAAAAGTTAGCATATGAGAAGTTTTTACAAAGTAGAAGTGATGCAAGGAGGGAAGAGTATATGGAGAAAAAGAGAAGTTAAGAGAGTGGTGAAGCAATGTAAAAAGAGAGCAAATGAGAGAGTGGGTGAGATGTTATCAACAAATTTTGTTGAAAATAAGAAAAAGTTTTGGAGTGAGATTAACAAGTTAAGAAAGCCTAGAGAACAAATGGATTTGTCAGTTAAAAATAGGAGAGGAGAGTTATTAAATGGAGAGTTAGAGGTATTGGGAAGATGGAGGGAATATTTTGAGGAATTGTTAAATGTTGATGAAGATAGGGAAGCTGTGATTTCGTGTATAGGGCAAGGAGGAATAACATCTTGTAGGAGTGAGGAAGAGCCAGTTGTGAGTGTGGGGGAAGTTCGTGAGGCAGTAGGTAAAATGAAAGGGGGCAAGGCAGCCGGAATTGATGGGATAAAGATAGAAATGTTAAAAGCAGGTGGGGATATAGTTTTGGAGTGGTTGGTGCAATTATTTAATAAATGTATGGAAGAGGGTAAGGTACCTAGGGATTGGCAGAGAGCATGCATAGTTCCTTTGTATAAAGGCAAAGGGGATAAAAGAGAGTGCAAAAATTATAGGGGGATAAGTCTGTTGAGTGTACCTGGTAAAGTGTATGGTAGAGTTATAATTGAAAGAATTAAGAGTAAGACGGAGAATAGGATAGCAGATGAACAAGGAGGCTTTAGGAAAGGTAGGGGGTGTGTGGACCAGGTGTTTACAGTGAAACATATAAGTGAACAGTATTTAGATAAGGCTAAAGAGGTCTTTGTGGCATTTATGGATTTGGAAAAGGCGTATGACAGGGTGGATAGGGGGGCAATGTGGCAGATGTTGCAAGTGTATGGTGTAGGAGGTAGGTTACTGAAAGCAGTGAAGAGTTTTTACGAGGATAGTGAGGCTCAAGTTAGAGTATGTAGGAAAGAGGGAAATTTTTTCCCAGTAAAAGTAGGCCTTAGACAAGGATGTGTGATGTCACCGTGGTTGTTTAATATATTTATAGATGGGGTTGTAAGAGAAGTAAATGCGAGGGTCTTGGCAAGAGGCGTGGAGTTAAAAGATAAAGAATCACACACAAAGTGGGAGTTGTCACAGCTGCTCTTTGCTGATGACACTGTGCTCTTGGGAGATTCTGAAGAGAAGTTGCAGAGATTGGTGGATGAATTTGGTAGGGTGTGCAAAAGAAGAAAATTAAAGGTGAATACAGGAAAGAGTAAGGTTATGAGGATAACAAAAAGATTAGGTGATGAAAGATTGAATATCAGATTGGAGGGAGAGAGTATGGAGGAGGTGAACGTATTCAGATATTTGGGAGTGGACGTGTCAGCGGATGGGTCTATGAAAGATGAGGTGAATCATAGAATTGATGAGGGAAAAAGAGTGAGTGGTGCACTTAGGAGTCTGTGGAGACAAAGAACTTTGTCCTTGGAGGCAAAGAGGGGAATGTATGAGAGTATAGTTTTACCAACGCTCTTATATGGGTGTGAAGCGTGGGTGATGAATGTTGCAGCGAGGAGAAGGCTGGAGGCAGTGGAGATGTCGTGTCTGAGGGCAATGTGTGGTGTGAATATAATGCAGAGAATTCGTAGTTTGGAAGTTAGGAGGAGGTGTGGGATTACCAAAACTGTTGTCCAGAGGGCTGAGGAAGGGTTGTTGAGGTGGTTCGGACATGTAGAGAGAATGGAGCGAAACAGAATGACTTCAAGAGTGTATCAGTCTGTAGTGGAAGGAAGGCGGGGTAGGGGTCGGCCTAGGAAGGGTTGGAGGGAGGGGGTAAAGGAGGTTTTGTGTGCGAGGGGCTTGGACTTCCAGCAGGCATGTGTGAGCGTGTTTGATAGGAGTGAATGGAGACAAATGGTTTTTAATACTTGACGTGCTGTTGGAGTGTGAGCAAAGTAACATTTATGAAGGGATTCAGGGAAACCGGCAGGCCGGACTTGAGTCCTGGAGATGGGAAGTACAGTGCCTGCACTCTGAAGGAGGGGTGTTAATGTTGCAGTTTAAAAACTGTAGTGTAAAGCACCCTTCTGGCAAGACAGTGATGGAGTGAATGATGGTGAAAGTTTTTCTTTTTCGGGCCACCCTGCCTTGGTGGGAATCGGCCAGTGTGATAATAATAAAAAAAATAACCACTCACCCGCACACCCACCCACTGTTACAAATAACGCGATTTCTAATAAGCTTAGAGATCTCCAGTGAATACTAGAAAGGACTGCCCTTCCAGCATCCAGCCTGTTACTGGGTTTTTGGAACAAGTAGTCAGTATTCTGGTCCAATTATCCATTAGAATTCAGTAAGATTCAATAGTGCTTCAGGATTACACTTGGTAGGCTACTAACTAAAGAAATTAAAATTTAATAAGTTTATTTATAACAAAATTGTCTAGGCATATATTATCAAAGTAAATTATAGTAATCAATTGAATATAATATAGGATACAAGTTCCTACACTTCTCTCGTGTACAGTAGTACAGAGCTGAAGGCTCATATCACATCTTAATGGCTTTTAAGTACCGTCTGGTACATTGTTAGCAATTAATAGCATAATACAGTACAAATATATACAAGTAAGTTTGTATGTATGTGTGTAAGTGCTCTAAGTAGTTCGGTATGTCTCAAGACTCGACTAGACTTAACCAGTGACTGACTAAAAGTCCTCACATAAACTAACCTCTTGACCAACCTGGCAATCAGAACAGCTTGCTTGAACAATAAAACGGCTGATAAGCCGAACAGCAATATAACAAGCAACAGCGACACAGAATCAGAAACAAGGAGATAATATAGCGACACTAAGTAGGGACCAACTGCAGATCCTCCACAAAAGTCACAAAACTCCCATACTACTGAATCTAAGTTCAGCATTAGAAAATCCCCGACTGACAGTACACAGATACCAGTACAAATTAGGTCAGAAGCTACAGCTCAGGACCTGAGTTTCTCAGAGTGTCTATGCGACACACAACCTCAGTACAATGTCAAAAATCACCAAGTCTAGACTATGTTCTGTGAACAGAGTTACGCAGAACCAACAACAAGAAAGCAA